GAGAGAGAGAGAGAGAGAGAGAGAGAGAGCCGGAGGCGGAACTTCGTTCGGTGTTTCCGCTTCCGTTTAAAAGTTGTGCGCGTGCAACAAGGACTTTTAACTAACGAATCGAGTTTCGGATCCATCGAGAATCGAAGCAAGATTCGATAGGGGGGATCGATGCGACGATCTTTCGGGAGAAAAATCATCGTTTGTTTTGCCTTGGAAAAAATTATCTTTGAATTCTTGTGTTCGAATTTTTTTCGATCGAATCGATGGATATGATTGTTACAGAGTTGAGCATTTATTTATACATCGGGCGTCGAATTTAAATTTTTGGGAATCCAAGTGGAAATGAAAATATGTTCGAGCGGAAATTTTTCGAAATGAACGAGCAATGGAAAGAAATGCGCGAGTTATTTTTTCCAGATTTAATTTCCAGTATTGTTTTCGGTTTAATTCGAAAGAGGAGGAGGGACGATTCAATTTTAAATTTTTCCTCTCCTGGAAAGGGATCAGGAATCCTTTTTCCAAGCGGTGAAAAGAAAGAGAGACAAGCCAGGAGGAGATAAACCTCTATTCGTTTAAATATAAGCCTGGCGCGAGACAGCCTGGCGGGGGACAAGGGACGACGGAATAAATCGACAGATTTTCATCAAGAAGCAACCCTGAGACAGTGGCCGTCTCTCGAAGATTCGACCAACGAGGTCTGTGATTGGCACCGGTGACAATTATTTGTTTTCCACAAATCACCGGGGAACATCGTTTTCCCTTCTCCCATCCTATCTTTTTTCTTTTTTTTCTTTTTTTACCCTTGTTCGTGCACTTTTAGATACACATTTAGCCTGTCCGTGACATTTCCACGCGACACCCTTTATTGGCCAACCGTTCTTTGACCTCCCTCCCTCCCCCTCCGATAAAATAAATTTCCCTTCGTGCATGAAAGGTTTCGATAATGTCAACGCCACCAATGGATCGTGTACGAAAAAATTAAGATTGGTGAATGAACGAAAAGGTTCTTGGATTTAGGGAAAATAAAACAGGTGGAAACACGAATAATTCAACGATTTGTGAATGATGGAAATGCAATAGTTGCAATAGTCCGAAGTTTTGTTTGGACGTTAGATTAATTGAGTTGTAGAATCGTGTTGAAATGATTAAAAAATCGTTGAGAAATTTTCTATCAAATATTCTTCTCAATCGATGAAATCTATTGAAATCGATTGAATAAAATTGTTGTATGTTATATTTCCACTCTAAAAATTTTAAAAATAAAAATCTCCTTTTCTCTTGTTATATATTTTTGTTTATATTTTATTATAATCAAATTAAACTCAAACAAATTTATATAATTATCTCAAATTAAACCGAAGTTTATTATTCTCACAAATTTTAATATCATAATTACTAGCTTATTCCATGAATAACGTCGTTTCAAAATTATTTTAATATCGAAAGTAATATAAAATATCTTTGAAGATATTACTACAAGAAATTAACATCGAACAAAATTGTATCAATCCTAAAGTAAATTAATCAAGGATTTCCATTATTTAATTCCATATAAATGTCACGTACAATCGAAACCGATACTGACACGAAACTTTAAAAGATTAATCGATCAAACATATACAAAAACGAACTTAAAACGAAATTATCGTATCCGTATGGAATTGTTCAATATAAAAAGAGAAAAAAAAAAGGAAATATAGTTGACAAATTGATACGATTAATCGATAGAAAATACGTGGTGAGAGTTCATATTAAGGAAAGATAAATGAAGGTTGAATCCGTGGATAACAGTGGCGATTATTTCCTCTCGA